CCCTCCACAAACTTAAATTTATTAATAAAATAAAACAATTTAGCATCATATGTATATATTGGCAGAAAAGAAACTTAAAGATAACATGCTAACAGGAATTTTTACATCCTAATATACAAGTACAAAAATTAAAAACAATTGTAAAAATTAAATTGATCAAATTTTAATTTACTTAATATATATAGATTCATTAGACTTCTATGCAGTGGAGGATAACATAAAAAATAAACAAACACGCTAACAAATATTCACAAGTACAACATAAAGAAAATATCTGGTCGTAAATTGAAAATTTTAAACATGAATTTTTTAAGTAAAAGTTAGCACTATTCTAAACCTTGCTAAGAATTTTTCAAGTAAAAGTAGCTACAACAGCCTGCGACATAATTCCAGCGGGTGTCGGCATAGATACGTTGTGGCTCGTCTAAGTTTCTTTTAGCAACTTTTTTCAATGACAATTTTGACAATACCTATATAACGAGAAGCATTGGATTGACCAAAAGGAGTTTGGTAACACTTTGGATTCTTCTTCTAGCAAGAGTTAGGGTTTCTACTTCAAATGCTAGGGGATTTTTTCTTCAATTTGGGGGAGAAATTCCTAGTTCCACTTTTTCTTCTAGTGCTAATAGGTTATCTATGAGATGGGGATTGAGGGCTATTTTGCACGAGTCCGTGGAGTGTTTTTTAATCTACAGTATATTGAGAAGAACATTTGGCTTGATTGTAAGATTTTGTAACTTATTGCATCTGTATCTTCCATATTTTCAATGAAATCTTCCATGTTTCTTATCTCATGTCTCTTTGCTAGTCTTTTTTCATACTCTTGTGATGTAAGAATAGGTTTCTTCTCATTTTTTTATCATGAGTTTTCCTTGTAAAAATTTTTCATGCTTATGATTTTCAAGTTGATGTGTTAACCTTTCAATCGTTGTTTATTACTAATTTGGCTAATTAGGCTTTTAAAACCCCATGTGATGTAGGATGTTCCAACCATAGACTAAAAAAACAAGTTGGATAACATATAATAGCTTATTAGAATAGATATATTGTTATTAAAAAATATCAACATAGATAGGGGATCCGTGGAATCCCAAAACATGTTGCATTGTTAAGTCCCTCTTAATTGTAGTATGGTTTCCAACTCTTCTTATGACATATACATATGCTAAGGGGGATTTTGTCCTTATTTATGAACTATCACTTAGGGTTACTCATAGGAAACATATTTAGAGAACGATATAATGTTGTCACAAGAGTATGAGCCTCATCACCTCTGAAGGGCTCAAAGTTGCTCCCTACCTATTATGCTACTATCATTTTTGTTTACTACTATGTATGCTTACTCCTCTTTTAGAAATATAGAATTTTCATCCATCACCTCAATCACTTTAAATTAGATTCAACAGTTTAGTACACTAGAAATTCCATTGTTAGAAATATTTTGATAACTTTTCTCATGGGATTGACATATAAACTCTTTATCTATATATTACTTGATTGACGCATATGCTTGTGTGACTTCTCCAAAAATAATAACAATATATGGATACATGAGATGAGAAATTTAAGTATCGGGTGAAGCATGAAAAGGTTTGAAATTAGAACTATAAATGTTATGCTCAAAATGGTTAGAAAGGCCATCCATAACAATTTAAAAGATAAGGTGGTGCAAACCTCCTTATCTAATTTTAATAGCAAAACAAAAACAATCTTCTAAAGCCCTATTAATACAAAGCAAAAAATTTCACATACATGGTACATTCCTTGATCCAAGAGACAAAAAATATTGTAAAACCCATCTTGATCATATTGTCTATAATGAAATCCAAATTAATGATATCAAATTCTTCTTTTAATATCAAGCTTAGCACAAATAAGCTTGGTAAAAATGTATGTTGAGATTCATTCAAAATTTCACTAAGAAGAATAACGTTTTACTGCAATGCTTCTTTTGGCAATAAAAATTGCTTGAGTTTCTTAAATGTAACCATCTTAAATGAGCGCAAATTTTTTTAGAAAAGTGTAAATGGTGCTTTAATATTTTCATTGGATGTAGAGGTGGCAAAGGCAAAGGAGAGATGAGGAGGAGAGTCAAAAAGGTCTACGATAATGAACAGCATCGACAACAATATCATCATGAGAAGTTAAAATAACATATGGGTTGAAGACGTGTGGTTTCTTCTACCCTTATTGGATAATTGGTATTTCATCTATATTTTAATATTGAATTTATTTTTATGGAAGAAGAAATATTTAGTTAAGAGCTTATATGGCCGGGAGGAATGCAATCAGCAATCTTCCTATATAAGAAAAAGCATTTTGATTTCAAGTTAATGAAGAAAAGAACTAGTACTTGCATAAATTTACATCATTACCACACCAAGAAAGTCAATCCTCCAAAAGAAGAGGATCAATTTCTATCTCAAAAATAAAAATACTTACATGCTCAAAGCACTGACAATGACATATTATGAAGATATGTTTAAAAGGAAATAAATAAGTTGATATTATATGACATTAATAAATGATTTAATGCAAGAGCAACATTAGATTAATGAAAAGTGTTAAAGAAGCAATATTTTTCTGCTAAGTTAACTAAGGCCTGCCCAAAAGTGTTTGCTTGAATACATGGCACATTCTTTAGAAACAAAATAAAAAATCCTAAAATATTGAAATCAACCTCTTCGGGAAAACAAAAATCTTCCCAGAAGAATAAAAGGACTCCATGTATTGAAACATCATAGTGAAAGAAAATAAATAAAATTTAAAATATAATAATGATGATTGTTGATCAAAATATTTTTTATTATGTTCATTTTTGTTTAATCTGGAAATCCACATATTATACATGATATCCAAACAAAATTTTGTAAGTTACATCATGTTAATTATCAAATATTGTCAATGCATTAAGCATGTGAATATTTTAACATCAAGACTTGCTATTTAACAATTACGGAATATCTTTTTCGGGTATCCATTTATTGAACGTGTGTTTTTCGTAACTACTTCATCCCTTCGGTTTTTCAATGACACTCCACTCCTTAGAGGTTGAATTTGCCCTCTCCTTAAGAAGCAGTGAGTATTTCCCTTCTTGGGATGTGGTGTCAAATTTTCTAACCGAGGGATAACATATGGCCCAAGGAGAAACTACATTTTGAGATTGAATCTCTCAAAACATATATTTCGCTTTCATTTCCCATAAAATTATAATTAAGGTTACTTGGGTTATAACTTTCCAGCTTGGAGAGGTTGGTGTTTGCTAGCAATTGGCTTTCGGCCTCTTGGACTAGATATTTCAGTTGCTTTGTGGCTGTTCCAGCATTATTTTAGTATGATTTATGTTAATAATGATGTATTTGATAGTTCTGACATGAGCCGTCTTTTTTATTGATTTTACAGGATTTACTTTTTTTTTTTTTTTTGAGTTGTTGGTCATTCTATTTTTTTGGTTTGGCTATTTATAACCTCACGCTTAATTGTAATAATATATGTCTCCGGATTTACTATCATTCATTATAGATTTTGAATAGAAATTTCTTGATTTTTTATTTCAAAGCTGGAGCAATTCATCATCTTGGCTTTATTCTCGTTCGTTGATTTAGATAAGGATGATATTTAAATTGTTGGGCTAATTTTATGATCATTCTTATAGGGTTTAGGGCCCCAAGTCTAATCTTAATCTGAAGTTAATCGTTATTTTAATACTAAATTTCTAACTTTGAATTATTCATCATATTACAAGCTTAGTTAATGTAATGCAAATCAATTTGCTTAGCTCGCACGAATCATAGATGACTTTGGGTATTATCATTTTATCGATTCCCATTTTTATCCTTTATGACGCGTTCCTCGTCTTGGAACCTAATTTATACTCCACGCATATATTTTATTTTATCTTGTTGTATAGGTGTTGTGTCTTATTCAACTAACGACTCGTGTCTTAAATGCTGTCATGTTAAGTCCGTCACCTCGCCTGACATGGAGACTTGGATGCAGAATATCATCTCTGATTCTGGTTTCCTTCTCTCTATTTTTATCAATGTTAGCAAGGACTATTTCTCTCATTTGGTAAGCTCTAGATTGCCTATTCAAATCCTTTTGCAAGCCATGATAATATCCTTTTTAAGTAACCTCATTTGAGCTCCAACTCTAATCCTCTTGTTGCAGACTGAATTAGAACTTATTTGATCTTTAGGTTTTTTGACATAAATTTGTTTAGGCTATCAACACAAGCATTTGCCAAAAATTTATTTTCTACTCGGACTGGTTTTATCTGTTGTGCTTCAGGAAATACCTGGTTATAATTTTTTTTTTTTTTCTTTTCTTTCTGAGATGGTGTGATCCAGGTGTGATCCAATCCTTCTTAAATTTTTTTGCGTTAGTTATATTTTGTGTCTAGATGTGACATTAACTTTGTTTTAATTTTGTTAGTATTAATAAAACTTTAATTTCCTAAGAAAATACCAAAAAAAAAACCTTAATGCATACAACGAGAGCTACAGGGAAATGATGATAGTTATATGCGAAGATGTTTCATCAAAGTTTCATTCATAAACTTTTTACTTGGCAATTTCTTTTAATCTAACGATCTTTTTTAGGAATGAATCATGCTGATACATGAGACACGTTTAAACAAATATTAAGGGCCATGTTGGTCTAAAATATGGCATCAAATAAGGATTGTTCATAAATTTACCTTCTATATATAGTGTTAGAACTAATTAAAAATTTAATTTTGTAAAAAAAAATTATTTCACTACTTTCCTAATTAATATTTTCCTTTATTAAAAAAAAATTTCCTCCCGACTTGTCTACAATGTTATAAAATCATAATCGATTCAATATAAACAGTATTTGGTCAAGAGGTTATGGCCGGGGGAAAATACAATTAGCCAGTTTCCTAATGAAGAAACATTTTGCATTCAAATCAATGAAGAAACGATCAAGTATTTGCATGAATTTTAACTTCTACCATTGCAAGGGAGACGATCAATCCAAAAACACAAATATAACAGTGTTCCATTCCTTCAAATATATGCAAAGTACCATTCGATCCTTTTTTTTTTGGTTTATTACAAGAGTAACAATGCTACATACGAAGCCTCCCTTTCAATATCATTTGTCACAATTGAAAATAGATCTACACCCCATACTATTTGTTTTTGTTTTTTTTTTTTTTAATGCAAACATTTGAAGGAAAAAAAATAGTCAATGAGAAGACCAACAAAAGTAATACAAACTGCAGGAGTCTTGTCATTCACCTACAAAAAATTAAATAAATAAAATATAAGTCTAGTAACATTAGAGCATCAGACCAACAAACTAAGCAGCAGTTACAATGAACTCATCTCCGTCAACAACAGAGCAATAATTATTGGTGTATAAACGATAATAGAGCACAATGAATCTCATGAGAATACCGTTTCAATAGTCTCATGAAGGTGCAAAACACTACCCATGTTTACACATTAACACAAACCAGAACTCATACACTGCTGTAAACTTGATCATAAATTTATGGTCATAAGCTAAAACATCACATCAGTCCCCTATGTTTCCCTACCACTGAAATATACAGCAAAACGTAATAAACTGACCTAAACAGCAGAACCAAAAAAAAAAAAAATTAAAATTCTCTAGGGCATTCAGGGCATTCAAATCTACAGATCTTACCTTACAGGTTGGCGCGCTGATTAGCATGTCTCAACCTCAATCCAATGTCAACTCCATGATCGTGAGCTAATTCCATTTCGGACATGTTGGAGAGATCACTACCCCTTGATCCACTACCATTCTCGCCAAAGTCGTGTAATCTTCGTCCAATCAAATAGCGATCATCACGAATGGCATTGTGGAGATTCATGAACCAAACATGGAACCTCTTGGCGCAAAAGTAAAGCATGCTGAAGAGGAGGCAGCCCAGCCAGGCAAATCGATATACAGTAGAATTAACTATGAGTGGATAGCCAAGAATGGGGAACAGACCCTTCGCAAAGACGTAGGGAACACAGAGTGCAGTCAGCAACTTGGTGATGATTGGGATCACAATCTCACGAAGAATCCAAAAGCCTCTCAGTCCAGAGAATCCGTCTTCTCTCACTCTTTCAAACTTGGCCCGCCAGCTCTCATCCACCAATGGAGCCATCTGGTCAAGCATAACCTGTTCAATAATTTAAGAAAAATATCAGATAAAAACTATGTATTTAATATGGCCAAATGCATCTTCGGTGTCAATGTGAGAAAGGGCAAGTACCAATCTAGTCCAGATCTTCAGAAATATGAGCCCAAGAGCCCAATCTTGATAAAGAAGGAAAACTGGGCTTTCATCCACGGGAACCCTCATTGGTACAATCACCACCAACTCAAAAAGCAGGCCAATCAGAACAGGAATGACAATAATCTGAAATAAACCATAAGCGCTGCTTATTATCAGCAAACATAAGTACGGAAAATTTAGAATTATTTTTATTATTAATGAGATTATATTTCCTTACCCATATAGAGAGAAGGGCTAAGCTTTTCAAAATAATAGTACACCATTTCCAAATTTGCGATATCAGATGACTGGCTCTCCGGTTTCTAATGTAATCAGCTGAATAGCTAGTTGCAGCCATAATGGTCCAGATAAGATAACAACCAATGCTGAAAGCAAAGAGATCTGTAGAAAAACAGAAAATAAACATAATGAACCTTCTAAAAGGCTTAAGATAATTATCTGGGATAACCGTTCCCAATATATTACAAATTTATGAAGAAAAAAAAGGCTTAGATTTGTCAAACAAATTACCATTACACTTGATACCATGAGTAAAAGGGAGGCGAGGAATTGCATTAAATGTTGCACGTCCAAGTGAAATAGGTACAACAATAACTGTTGCATTGAAAAGCAGAAGTGTCATCCATGCCAAGATCAGTAACAACACAATGCGAAGTACAAAGCCATATCTGCAAGAAATAACAAAGGTAGTCAAAATATTAAATAGATGATTTAACATTTAAGAGGCAGAAAATGAAATTACGTGAAAGAAAAGATAATTGACTGAAGGGATACAAACACCCGACAGCTCCTAAATAACAAAGAAAGGAGGTCAAAATGGTAAATAGAGGATTTAACAAATAAGAGACAAAATGAAATTAAGTGAAACAAATGATAATCGACTGAAGGGATACCGACAACTCCTAAATAATTTCATAGTAAATGATGCCCATTCATTTTTTTTAGAATGAATGTTCAACAACTAAGAAATATAATGTGAGCATAAAGGTAGTTAAGCTAGATAGAAATGTCAGGCAGAGCCCAAACTTAAATTCAGTTTAAAATTTTAAATATTTAGAATAGATGGTAAAATACAATCATTGTTATAGTTAAAAACGTTACAACTGTACCTTACAACCATGAATATCATATAGACAAGCAGAAAAGGAAATCTTTATCTCAAAACTGGAAGGAAAAAAGAGCACCTTGCTTCTTACTGTTTATCGTGTACCACCCATTGTATAGTAGGATGGAAATTCTACCAGCTTCCATATTAGAACTTACATGGTGTTTCATATAATTTTAGAAGAAATATGATCATTGCGACTATCAACAACAAATTATTTTGGCCAAGTTAAAAATGTGACTTAGGGCGGAATTTATCAAGCGGCCAAGATAAATGACACTAAAAAATTTATTTTGTACAAGGTTTGCTGTCTGTCTTCCACAGGCATGTTAAAGTTTGCTGAAATGGCACTTTTTCTAAAATGAAATATAATATATTCCATGGAACAAAAAATTTTGACACTGCATATGTAGCAAAGTAATTATTTTATGAAATTCTTGGGCAAAAAAGTTTGCCTAAAACAATTAAATCTGATAGGATGTCACATTCAGGAGCTAATTCTAGCAAACGTTATTTCAAAAATAAATGAGAACCAAAAATTATGTTTCTGCTACTTATCATCCTACATGGATAGCAAACAGATGCAAAAAACAATGTTTGGATGATCTATCTATATTACGTTATTTGATAGGACAGAATGCATCTGGTTAGGAGTTAATATAATGAATTGCTGAGATTACAAATAATTCATTTGTTAATAAGCATATTTGCACGAGTCAATTGGAAATTGGCAGTGGTTACCAACACAGGAAACTTATGACTAGATTTATCTATGATATGCCGGCCTAGTGAATTTACAAAATTTTGCGCTCATCATATACGAGTTGCAAGAGAATATTTAAACGTATATTGTTGCAACCATTACAATTAGATTTAAAAAAAAAAAACATTATAATTATAAGAAATGAGAGACAGAGATAATTCAAATAAAGCTATGAGAATATGGCACCCCTAAACCCAGAGAGCTCTTCTAAATTCCTAAGAAATTAGCTGCACTGATAACTACTACATGTAAAATTTTACAGCGTATTTAAGAAAATGCAAATGAGTTAAATATTCAAGAAATTTTTTTTAAGTAGTCTAGTTTTCATTTGATTTAACCCCCCCCAAAAGCTTCACGTTCAGAACTTAGCATTGACCTTCCACGATTCCACAAACTTTATCTTGTAATCCACCCACATCTCCGCAGCCAACTGCAACAGTTCAAATGCTAATGGAAAAAGATTCATGTGAAATGAAGGCTATTACTAATGGTAGTTCCAAAGAAGCCTCGACAAATAGAAAAGAAGATTGCCATGAAATTGACGTTGCTTGGGTATCACCGAGTGAGCTACAACCTATGATTTATGAACAATTTTAATAATATAATGTCCAACACATGCAAGACACAACATGTTAAACCCACGGTCAATGTGCTCTATTAAAAAACACCGAAAGATGCGTATCATATAAGTGTCAAGAGTTGAGTGGAATATCGATGATAAAACCAAGAAATCACAATTAAAAGAAGATAACAAAAGAATTTGAATTTTAAAAGAGATGATTGATATGTCTTCAATAAAAAAGTTGATAAACTTGTTTAGGGAAATTACATACATAGCACCCGAAACATTGCTATTTACAAATCTAGCACCCTCTTTCATCCATTTTTTAAATTCTCACTCAAACATCAAAATTCATGATAAAACATCATCCCATATTTTTCATTTTTATCAAATTCTCAATGGTTTGCTCGTGGCACTTGTAAATACATAGGTTATGTAGTTCAAAAATATCATATGGGTGTTAGATTTTGTAAATAGCAATGTTTCAGGTTCAATGTATGTAGTTATCCCTTGTTATTAATATGAGAGCTTTGTCTCAAACCACAAGGTTTTGTTTTCAAGACATAACACATTCAGGTGTGTGCATAAAGGAAAATATATATATATATATGTGTTTTATAACATCCTTATTTAACTTGTGCAATGATCATACTATGCTTTTAATTTGTACAATGCCCACATACACACAACACGTGCACTCGGACAAACACACACACACACACACAAAGATATATAGATATATATATATATATATATATATCCACTACTCTACAGTACAGTGTATATATATATATATATATATATTGTATCATGTCCATATTATGTATCATATGATACAGCGCATCTAGGCAAGTTCAGAACATTCATGCTAACATTTGCCAGAGAGAAATGATGTAAAGCTCAGGATCTATAATTATCATTAGAGATGCAAGCTTGCAATTCATTTATTCTTTAAACATTGATATCATACAATCAATATCACCACAGCTATTGTTAGTCTTGCTTTGTGATCATAAATATCAATGTGGTCAAAATTAGACTCTATGTATATTCCCAAAAATTAAGGTATGACAACTCTAATGTACCTCCTTGAGTTTGGCTCATCATAACATACAATAAAAATTTTGATGGGTCTATTGAAAGGTACAATGGTAACCCACCATGCTTATGTTGAATAAAATGCAAAAACATTTGATTTACACAAAAAAAAACTATATTTTTTGTAACTTCCTGCAATTTTGCTTCCAACTATCAATATGAGACACAAGAACATTGTAATAAACTTTTTTACTATTGAATAAAACTACAACATTGGGATGCCAAACCCAATGATAACTCTTCTAGGAGTGATGTCCTTCTTCATATGTGAGGTTTTATTATCATGTTTTTCTCTATTTTTTCCTCTTAACTTGTTTGTTAATTGGCTGAAATAGTGATTAGATATGTTTATTTCATAACAAATATAGATTTAAGCATTATTCATGATCATTAGATCTATTGTACTATTCGTATGATTCTTAAATTCAGGTGATTAATTGCTCCGAGGAGATGTATTAATTGTTAACACATTGTTCTGCCATCGATACAATAATGTGGTCAATTTAAATACCGTTGGACTTCCTGAATCATCTATGTGAGGATTGTATGTTTTATTTTCTTCTTCAGGAATCTGGGAACGCCAATTTTTTTTTTTTTTTTTGCATTTAACTTGTATTAATTATAACTACATTAGGAAATTCATTAACACCGTATATCTTGCTTAAATTTTAAATTCTACATCATTTCAAGTGTCAGCATTTTTTAGGAAGTCCTACAGCAGAAAAATTGTCCTGCATGATCAATTGCAGTGTGATTGAAATTGTTGGTCAAAACAGTCTAATTTGTGCATCGCAAAACATCTAGAAACCAATGCTGTAACAGATCTTAGTTCATTTTCAAAATCAGTGTTGAATCAACTTGAGATCCAGAAACTAAGACAGTATACTCAACAAAAAAGGCAACCAACTTCATGGACAACATGCCCACTGGAATCCATTGGTTCAATATCAAAATTGTATCGGGAGTGAGGAGGATGGAGGGATGGAGGTAAAGGGAAATCACAATCTAATGAATAAAAACCTTGAGCACCCATAGTAGCAAAATGGAAACGTTGGGATAGGGTTCAAACTTAGAAAGATATTAGGGAAAAAAAGGTTTCATTAAAATATAGAATATACCCAATTTATTTACAGTTCAAAAGACTATGTTTTATGATATTATTAGCTGAGAGGTGCAGTTAGGACGGCCAGTTGTAACTAAAAACTTCAAAGGCCAGAATAATGGAGAAAGTGCAGCAAACACTTTATGATAAAACCTATGATGCACGGACACTTTCAATGAAAGAGTTGTGCAGTGTCCGACATTTATCGGACATGGAAATGGCTCCGACATGACTCCAACACATGTAAAACATGGCATAAAAGCATCTTACTTAAATAATATTTTAAAAAAATAGATCACGTGTCCGAGCATGTGTGTCCTAAATTAATGAATTAAACATTCTAAAAAATATTTTTAAGACATTTAGAAAAAGAAATTATGTAAACTTTAAAAAAATTTACATACATATCCCTCAATTTTTATGTATTTATGTCTCTAACACCAAAATTTCAATTTTACATATATGCCACCTTACATTTATATGAAAAGATGTATTTCACTTTTTAAAACTAAATATACTTATATATTGGCTTTGATATAATAGATTGGGTGGCATAAATTTGAAAATGAAAAACTTAGATGTTAGATGTGTAAATAAATAAGAAATCGATGTCAAAGAAGCTGGTGAGCCTTTTAATTCTTTTAATGAGGAGCAGATAATATATGTTTATTGTTTGAATGTCAAAAATTAAACAATAATCTATAAATATTGGGGCCATTTAGAAACACTTTTTATTTTTATATTTTTTACTTTTAAATTTTTTTATTTTTATTTTGTTTTTGGGGCATGCATTTAATACATACCACGCAATTCTTATGCACTTACATATTTAACACCTATACTTTAATTTTACATGTATAACACCCAAATATTTCACCACATCAAAACTACCACTATTTTAACTTTAAAAAGTGAAATGCACCTTTTCACGAATAGAGAAGGTGGCATGAGTGTAAAAGTCAAAGATTAGGTGTTAGATATGTAAATACATAAGAATTGAGTGATATGCAAGTAAATCTTCCTTTATTTTTTATGTTT